AGTGGGGGGAGGTTCCCAGGATTCTCCTTATGAGAAGGCCATGCCCACAAGGAGGCATCTTTAGGCTGTGACCTGAATGACAGGTTAAATTCCACCTCTACAGTTCTATATAGCTTCAAGTTGATATGAAATTATGTATGCTGCCACAGTGTTCAAGCAAAATGTGTACTTACAATATGAAATTGCATTATAATCTGGCAGATACAGATAGCTGCTCTCCAATTGCTCTGACTCACAATAATCTTACATTACTTGGTCCTGTGTCATCTTCACACTCTCCAGGATGCTTTGGCTATTGTGTCAATCTAGCTCACTGGAGTCTTTCTTCTGTTTGCTGACTCTACTTCACCAAACAAGGTCCTTAGCAATTGATCTTACTTGATGATGTGCCCGATGCAAGTAAGTCAGACAGTGTTCTCTTGCTCCTCAGATGGGGTCCATTGGCTAATATTTGGTAGCAGATCACCAAGTCTTTCTTCATAGACTCTTAGTCTGAACAATTTCTACCATGAGTCACCCTGTTAGTATTTGAAATACAAATAGCACAATAACCCAGCAACATACATGTTACCACAATATGACAAATCAGTTGGTGAAATTTTTAGGTAGATTTTTTAAAATTGTGTTGTTATCAGTAGATGCTGTCTACTCGGTTCCCATTCACAGTCACCTGGGTACAACAGAAGGAAACGTGGCCTGTCCTGCACCATCTCCACAATTGTTGCTATTTTTCAGCCTATTGTTTCAGCCACTGTGTCAATCCCTCGCTTCTGTTTTCATTCCTCTTCCGCTGTACACTATCAGTATGATGTTCTTCTCCCTCCTGATAACTTGTCCAAAGTCCATGAAACAAAGTCTCACGATGCTCCCTCCTAAGGAGCATTCTGATGGCATCTTTACCAACACGGAGTTGTTTGTTCTTTTGGTGGTCCACAGCACTTTCAATATTCCTCATTAGCACCATAATTCATATGCATTGATCCTTCTTCCATCTTTATTATTCAGTATCAAACTTTCACATTTTATGAGGTGATAGAAAATATCATGGCATGATTGGGTAAGGCCCACTCTTTAAAATCAACCATGCAAACTTATATAGATAATCAATATTGTACTTTTAGTTTTGAATTAATATTTTAAAGCTCTGTTTCTAGAAAATAGCTGATATTGAATAAGATCAAAGGTAGTAAAATACTATAGTTTAAATATGTTTTATTTGAGCACTGTAGAATATTTTTTTCTGGAAAACGTTTTATTACATGAGGTTGGTATTTAGGATGAAAGCTCTTAAGTATCAGTTAAATCTTCTGTTACATACAATTTCCATGTGATCAAATGAACACTTCAGATAACTGTTGAAATACATAAACGTATAAAGTGCAAAAACAATCTATCTTAAAATTTAGAGTGATTTTTTTTTAGACTGTAATAAGCAAGTCAATTTTCCATGAACTTAAATCAATTAATTTTTCAGGCTTCATTTCCCAATTTGTGAAAAATGAGCAACCAAACATATTGTCATTCTCTAATGTACTATGAAGTTAAGTTAATGCGGGTGTTTAAGCACTCAATAAGGTTTCTATTTAGGTGTAAACAACACATTGTTATTGGCAGTACTTTATAAACAAAATTTTAAAATACTTTATTACAGATGCTGTATTTCCACTGTACTAGTGGAAGCAATTGTTTATGGATAAATTATCAAGTTAAAAAAATAAATGAGCAAAAACATTTATTGGCATGGTTTGAATGTGTGTATATTTTTAAAAGATCAATAGTGTATGGAATTTTATCTAAGAAGGCTTAGAAAATTTGAGAAAGTTTTTCTTATGTTTGTATCATTTATGATTAATTTCAAACAGAGTATTTCTTAAGTCAATAGAATAAAATGTGTAGCACATCTTTGATTAGCTTTAATGTTCATCATTGTACAAACACAGGAAGTTGGCAACATGGAGTTCTAGAACACACAGCTTTTGAAACAATCTTACCGCGTGCTTCGTTGCATAGGGAAACTGATACTAAACTTAAAGAAACTCAGTGCCCACAAATAATTCAATTTTGTACTCCTGTACAAAGTTTACTCATTTATATAGTTGATTATTCAAAGGACTGTACATGAAAATACTGGCCAAGGAAAACAGAGACACCGTCACCAAAATGAATGGACGCAATAGCTGCAAAAAGAGACTCATACATACAAAGGTCATGACAATGAATCAGGCAGACAAAGTTCCATTCTGTTGTACATAAGTCATGTACATCAGTACATGAGTGAGAGCCAACCGGATGATAACTAACAAGCTGCCAATCGTAAGGGAGTGGTTTGAAACCACCAGCGAATTCAAGGGAGAAAGGCAGGGCTTTCTACTCCTAAGAGCTCAAATAGAAAGTAAATGTTTAGAAAATAATGGTGGCAACATATACACAAATACGCTTCATACAATTCATGTTTGGATTGTTACAAGGGCTGTAAGAGCCACCAATAAGAAGATCTTTTAATTAAAAAAAAAAGAATTAAAGTCTTGGAAATCAACAAGGGAAGTTCTACCCATCCTGTAGGGCCACTTTGAGTCAGAATCTACTTGATGGTACTGAGAGTTTTGTTTGGATTTTTTGAGTGCTTTTACCTTTTACTTCTTTCTCAGAAACACCATTTCTCGGCACGATCATGTTTGGGAGGAAAACACTGGACTACTTTTCCAAAGGGAACCTCTACATCTGGTGAGCTAGTATGTGTAGTTCCCTGCCAGGAAGGACTAAGCAGAAGGCCACAGTCATTTTGGTCCACCCAGGACCCCTCACTTCTCATTGGCAAACATGTGCTAACTCAGCTTTGCAGTCATGTTGGCAGGTGCTGTCGAGTTGATTCCAGACATGATGACCTTCTGCACAACAGAATTAACCACTTCCCAGTTTTTGCCAGTCTCACAATTGTTCCTATGTTTGATCCCATTGTTGAAGCCACTGTATCAATCCACTGACCGAATTTCTTAAAGATGCAGACATAGGCTTTCTCTTAAGAATATATCTCAAGTCTTGTTTGGTTACAAATATTCTGGACCTTTATTTTCAGCATGTCTGGTAAAGATTTTTCTGAGTTGATTTTGCATTTGTTTTCTTTCTTTCTTTCTTTCTTTTCTTTTTTGCAAATCTAGCTACCTGTCCACAGACTTTATTCTCAGTGACCTTAGTTTAAACTTTGAAATCCTGGAGGGTGTCTGAGAAGCTGCCTCTTCCACACTGTCCTAATGTGATTCTCAGTGCAGTCACCACAGCCTCCTTGCTGGACTTCTTGAATGAATCTTCCACATTTTGGCACTCAAGATACATCCAATAGGACTTGTAAAAGAAATCATAACATAATATAGGGCAATTTGGAATGAAAACAAAATTAAAAAATGTGCAGAAAGGATAGAGACAGAGTTTGATTTTCCTAGAAGCAAAAACATTTAGGCTACTTTTGGTTTTATAGTCATTAATTTAAAACATGCAAACTCACTTGCAGCATCCTACCCCTCATAAGGCTACTGTCCAGAGGGAAAGTCGTACGGTTTTACAAAGCATTTTAAAATTCTATTTAAAGCAATGTCCAAATTACTTGAGAAGAAGTCTTGCCATTTTTGCCTCTAAGGAGCATTCTGGCAATACTTCATGCAAGACAGATCTGTTTATTCTTTTAGTAGTCCATGGTACTTTCAATATTCTATACCAACAGGATCAGATAATTCAACTGCATTGATTGTTCTTCAGCCTTCTTTATCTTCAAATTTACATGCATATGAGGCAATGGAAAATACCAATGCTTGGGTCAGGTCAACATAGTATAACAGACTGATAGACAAGCGGTTGTAAATGTGTAGAGCCCTCCTTCAATAAGCAGTCCCACTCATTGAAAAATTAATGTGAAAAATGAATGCTTCAACTTAATAATCTAGAGTTTAATTAACAAGAGATGCAGACACTGAATTTCAAGAGCTATGAGATTTTGAAGTTTTGCAATAACATTACCCCCCAAAAGATGGCACTAAGAAACAACCGTTATATGACCTTCAAGTAAATAATATTAACTGACAGGGAAAAATAAATTGTGTAGCATCTGTAGCTTTATATTTCAGCTATTTTATTTCAGCTTTAAAGGTTTGTTTCTTAAATTATCCAATACATTGGCATTTATAGATTAAGTTTTTAAAAATCAGTTTCCATTATAGCTTTTGAATGAGTAGAAACTTTTATCTGCATCTAAACTAACAGATAACTTTATGATTATATGTTTCAGAAGATGTTATGTTAAAGCTGATTTTTTAAAAAAAATTCCTTTTTGGCATTTGTGTATGTTCAGAATATGCTGCATACATTTTTATATGTAATTCAAATTAATAATATAATTTTAATGAACATGTTATTGAAGCTGCATGTTCTAGAAACTGATGAACATGTATTAATATTACTTAATAAATGGCATACCATAAACGGCATCTTTACACTACCAGTAAAAATACAACCTATTATAAATATTGGTGAACATAGGTTTAAATGAAACTCCAAAAAATGCTACCATTTGATATTTGGGGGTTTACAATAAATCATACTTCACTTAACAACCCAGGTTCTGTTCTTATTAAATTATAAATGCATGGATCATTATATGGAGAACAACAATAATCCCTTTTATTATAAATAAAGTTGAATTTGGAGAATGCGGTTTATGGAAGTGGGCTTCTATATACTGAAATCCAGATCAGTGCAATTTCACCATCAAAAAAGGGCTCTCTATAGAAAGTAAAGGAAAGGCTACAGACATGTGTTTCTCAAGAGTAACAGAAGGGACAAAGTCTGGGCATCACTTGCTCAGGTCTGTCTTACAAGCTCACCGGCCAGATAAATCATCTTTGGTTAGATAAGCTGAATGAGAGTGATACTAAACTGTTGGAATGCGTGAGAAGGTAGGGAGTGAAGAACTTCTTCTAACTCCCAAAGGAATTTCTAATTACTAAAAGGCTGTGGGACTGTCCGGTGCCCAGCACAAGCCAACTCCCGAGAACCAGGTGACAGGTATCCTCTCTGCGGACCTGTGGTTTCACACGGACAGGGTCACCGCTCTCGAACACTTACTCAAGTCGGTCCTGCGGTACACTTTCAACCACTCAGCCTCCCTGCCCGCTGCAGCTCACTGTGTGTGCAACCGAGAGACCAGCAAGACCTCCCCGGGTTCCAGCCTCAACTCACAGTTTGAATTTAGAAAGAAGCCCAAATGGATCAAGATGAATATCACTCCTTCAGCCTCTAGTGGCCTCCAATGAGGGAAACATCCGCATGTCTGTGGCCTTTGTATGTGAGGAAGGCAGGCTGCGGTCACAGGACAGTCCATTCAACACGTCTCCTCTGGTCCCCCCATCAGTGCCGCTGTACCTGAATGACGGGAGTGCTCAGGCTTATCACAGGTGCTTTTCTCTCCACTCTCAGAGGAGCCCTGCACAGAGGCCTGAGCAGGAGAGAGACCTGACTGTATGCCCCGTGGGGACAGAGGCTACTGAGTGTGGCCCAGCTGCCTGCCCCTGTCTCCGACACCGCAGAGGGCAGGGAACTGTCGGGTCAAAAATGCAGGAGGCCCTGGTTCCAGCTTCCCTAAATTTGAGTGAATACTTCAAACAGTTTCTGTTTCCTCCAAATGAGTATGAGTTCCATGACTTTCGACTTAGCTTCAGTCAGCTCAAGTGGAACAACTGGATTGTGGCCCCGCACCTATGCAGTCCCCAATTCTGTAAGGGGGACTGTCCCTGGGCCGTGGGGCATCGCTATGGCTCCCCGGTGCACACCCTAGTGCAGAACATCATCCACGTGAAGCTGGACTCCTCCGTGCACAGGCCGGTGTGTGTGCCTGCCAACTACAGCCCTGTGAGCGTGCTGACGATTGAGCCTGATGGCTCGCTTGACTATAAAGAATATGAAGGGTTTAAGAGGAGAGAAAATGTTTTGAGAATGATGAGGACAATGAATGTACAAATGCACTTTACATAATTGATGTGTGTATGGATTGTGATAAGAGTTGTATGAGCCCCTAATAAAATGATTAAAAAAAAAAAAGAATATGAAGACATCCTAGCCACCAAGTGCACTTGTTGCTAACGCATGCTGCTCCAAAGTGAAGCCACTTTGAGCTGAGCAAAGATGGGGTGCCTATGTGGCTTTGCACAAGGACCCCTGGAGCGTCTTATCTGTGGTGGATGTAGTGCGATGTGGTCGGGGGGCGGGGGGGGGAGGCTGCAGAGAGTAGCACCTGTGAGGGAACAGCATTGTCAAAGGATGGCTTCATCTGCTTTCTCTGAGCCTTTTTAGTCCCAAATGAAAGTGTAATGTCAGTAAGGAGAACTTTAAACACCCTGCCCTACCCCCTTGGGGGTGACTTTTTTTCCTTCTTAAATGAGTCTTGTTTTTGTTGTAAGGTTTTAAAAATAAACATATTAGCATATCTCTTGTATAGAATTGCAGCTCTACCAGAGACTTCAGAATGTGGTACTCTTACTGAATGGAAGAATACATTCCTGTCTGTGGCATTTAAAAAGAAAGAAAGAAAGAAAGAAAGAAAGAAAGAAAGAAAGAAAGAAAGAAAGAAAGAAAGAAAGAAAGAAAGAAAG